GCCACTTCCGGCTTTTTTCTTTTTGCTTATGTGGTACTGAGGAATCAAACCCAGGGCCTCAGGCATGCAAGGCAAGCGCTCTACCACTCAGCCACCTTCCCAGCCCCTAATTTCTGAATTTTTAAAGAAACTATTTTTAGTATTTAATGGAAAATAGAGTATGAGTTACTGTCATAGCCTTTTAATATTCTTAGATCAGTTAACTATGATTTTTAATGTTGTATATTGAAGATAAGGTGCTCCAAATATTAAAAGGTCAGTCTATTATTATTAAATTTAATAAGCAACTTTCAGTTATATCTACTAATGTATTATTGGAGATAGAAGACTGTAGTAAATAGTTGTCAATGTTCCTTTTCTTTTATGTTTTAATGACTTTCTAGGCTTTTTTAAAATTTTATTTTTAAGTAGTTATACAAATAGTTGCCATTCAACAAAGTAGTATAAGAATGCAATGAATCTTGTTCATTGTCACCCCTTTCATCATTCTCTGCTTTCAACCTCACCTTCATAAAGTGGTTTTTAAGAGGATTTTTGTTTTATATTTAGTTTGTTACAGAAAATGTTAGAGTGGGCAGTCACAGAAAACAGAGAAGCAAAAATTAATCTGATAACTGCTGAAAATGCCTTCCGACTTACACTGATCATACAAGACTTTCTATACTCTGAGGGACTAGTCAATTCAAACATGTGGGCTGAGAAGGTTAGTGATATTCCCTTTGAGTTTTTAGAAATCAGTTTGACTCTTTAGAGCAGTAATACTTAATCAGATGCAGTTAAACATGGATAAGATGATGACTCGCCACAGATTTTATTTGCTACTACAAAATTCTTTTGACTTTTGTAAACTAGACTTTGGACTAGCTTTGAAATATTTGTGATTTGTATTGGTGTTGGGGAAATTTCATCAGTACATCTAAAAACTGGATGTTCTATTTCTCAATTTTTCTCTTCTGATAGCTGTTAGAGGATATCATGCTACTCTTCGACTGTCTGTCATTATGGTATTCTGAGAGTCCAGTGTGGGTAAAACTCTCTCAAATTCAGATCCAGTTGCTTTTGGGATTCATTGAAAAGGGAAGTTTGCAGGTTGGTCGTTTATTTTATTTTCTGTACTTGGATACAATATAGTTATTATGTACTAATTAGTTGATAATGCTTTTTAGAACTTCGTTTTATTGGTTCTCAAAATATTCGTATATCCATGACTTTACCTAAAATTTTAATCTTGTGAGATCAGAAAGGAGTGTAGGAGGCAGTTAATTGACTTCTTCCTCATATTCATGACTTCATATACTTTTTTTGTGTGTGCCAGTATTGGGGCTTGAACTCAGAGTCTAGTGCTGTAGCCTTAGCTTTTTCTCTCAAGGCTGGTGTTCTACCACTTGAACCACAGTTCCACTTCTGGCTTTTAGTGGATAATTGGAGATAAGAGGCACAGGGACTTTTCCTACTCATGCTGGCTTCAAACCTCTATCCTCATATCACAGCTTCCTCACTAGCTAGGATTATAGGCATGAACCATTAGCATCCAGCCAAACTTCATGTACTTTTAAGGATTCCTTTTATAGCATTTATTCACAGCTTATACTAGAAACATTACTCAATATCAGCTATATTTAGTTTAGCTTGTTAGGTGCTAGACAAACCATATAGACTAAATATGTACAGTTTAGGGTTTACATTTTTCTAAAATACTCCTTTCAAATTTGCAGGGAAATGGATAGACCTTGAAAAATTATGTTAAGTAAAGTAAGTCAGGCTTTGTCTCTCAAGAGAGACAAAAGGTACATGCATGTTTGCTCTCAGATGTGGAAGTTAGATTTAAATTGTAAACATATATGAAGACATATACAAGGTCATATTCATATACACAAACATATTGACTAAAGTATATGCAGGGGAGGATTGCAGTGTTGTAACTCCTTTGAACAACTAACTTACAGTTTAGCAAAATGAATAACAGAAAGCTGAAACATGTTGTTGGGAGGAAGGATGAAGGTAGGGAGTGGGGTGGAGGCAGACAAATGGAGAGAGGAGGGTTAGGTGAAGACATGCGTGATATTTAGTACACATGTGGAATTCAGTGGGGATGGGTAGGGTTGGAAGAGATGGGGAGAAAATGGAAGGTGTAACATTGATCAAGATTCATTGTGCTCATAAACTGACATGCTGAATTGAAACCCCTTGTACAACCACTTAAATATCATTTAAAAATAATTTTAAAAAATTAAAACATAAGCCAGGCATTGGTGGCTCATGCTTATAATCCTAGCTACTCAGGAGACTGAAATCTGAGACTGATGGCTTAAAGCCAGCCCAAGCAAAAAAGTCTGTGAACCTCTTACCTCCAATTAACCATCAAAAAAGCTAAAGTGGAACTGTGGTTCAAGTGGTAGAGATATAGTCTTGAGCAAAAATGCTCAGGGACAGTGGCCAGGCCCTGAGTTTAAGCCCCAGGACTGGCACAAAACAATAAAAATAAAACATGAAAGAAAATTCAGGTATCCTGTAGTTGGTGCTCCTCTCTAAGCAGTCTTTGTGCAAGTTCAAATGATGATAATAATGATAATATTGCTTCGACCATTCCTGTAGCTCTATGTTTTTGACTCAAGACGCTATGGAAACTTGACAGGCTAACTTAATATCTTAGCAATAAGGTAAGATGGGACCTTTCATGATTATTGACAATTATTATATCAGAATTCTGAACTTGAAGAGTGACACAGAACCTGTGCTATCATTAACTATTTTAGTGTGCTTTTCTTATCTTGTCTGTTTTCTTCTAGGTTTGTGCAATGGCATCAGCTAAGCTAAATACCCTTCTTCAGACTAAAGTGATTGAAAATCAGGATGAAGCCTGTTACATTTTAGGGAAGCTAGAACATGTTCTTAGTCAGTCAATCAAAGAACAGACTGAAATGTATTCATTTCTGATTCCCCTTGTTCGTACTCTGGTTTCAAAAATTTATGAGCTTCTCTTCATGAACTTGCACCTACCTTCTTTACCTTTTACCAATGGTAGTTCCTCATTTTTTGAAGATTTTCAAGATTATTGCAGTTCAAATGAATGGCAAGTTTACATTGAGAAATATGTAAGTTTCATCTTTTTGAGCAAAATTTTTCTACAACATCAGTTTTTTAGATGTGTATATAAAGTTCTGTGTTCTTTTTTTTTTTTTAAATAAGATTGTACCTTACATGAAGCAGTATGAAACACATACATTTTATGATGGTCATGAAAACATGGCACTTTATTGGAAGAATTGTTATGAATCCTTAATGGTGAATATGCATAAACGAGATCGAGAAGGAGGGGAAAGCAAGCTCAAATTTCAGGTAAAAAAATATTAAATGTTGGGGTGGGAATGTGGCTTAGTGGTAGAATGCTTGCCTGGCATGCGTGAAGCCCTTGGTTCTGTTCCTCAGTACCACATAAACAGAAAGAGCTGGAAATGACTCTGTGGCTCAAATGGAAGAGTGTTAGCCTTGAGCAGAAGAAGCTCAGGGACAGCGCCCAGGCCCTGGCCAAAAAAATAATAATAATAAATGTTCTAAAATTAAACCTTTCATGTTGATTTCAAGCATTTAATATTTAAATAATAGTAATATCAACACTGAAATTTGGAAACAAGTCGTCTGAGAATTATTTGAGAGTTAGAAGAAAAAATAACAGTTGAGTAACAGTTGAATAAATTGAATATAACATTCTAAATGTAGTGATCATATAAAAAGTCTACTAAGGCAAAAATCCATTAGGAGCTATATTTAAGGAGGCTGGATGCACGTTTGTACTTAAAAGGAAATTTATAGTACATATGCATATAGTAGAAAAAAGGCTTCAAAAATTTTGTTTCTATTTTTAGATACAACAGAAAATTAATTTAATAACAATAAACATAGATAAGAAATTAACAAAGATGTGAACTAAGATGAAATTCAAAGGAGGAAAACAATAAACTGGCTCTTTGTGTTAGTAAAACTGATGAACATTCTAGCTAATGGACACAGCAAAACAAGAGAAATTTAAGTTCAGAAATTTAAGATGTAATATTACTACTGACTCCATAGATATCAATATCTTAATAAAAACTATTATAAGCTACTCTATGCATATAAATTTAACAACTTTTTTTTATCTTAGTGTCTTGGGGTTTGAACAAATGAATTTGGCCTTACACTTACTAGGCAGGTATTGTATAACTTGAACCACACACCCCTAGTTCTTTTTGCTTAAATTATTTTTCTGGGAGAGTTATGTTTTTGCCTGGGGCCAGCTTTAGCTTACACCTACTTCACCTCCTGAATAGCTAAGGTCACAGGCACATGTAACCACATGCTGCTGTTGGTCAAGATGGGATCTTACTTCTCTGCCTGGTGGGTAGATAAATCTAAGAGACCTTATTCCTAATTAACTAGTAAAAAGCTGGAAGTAGAGAGGACTCAACTGGTAGATTGCCAGCTGAGAGCACTAACAGCTGAATAAGAGTGTAAGACCCTGAGTTCAGGCCCCAGTACTAGCAGGAAAAAGGAGGAGAAGGAGTCTCACTAACTTTTTACATTGGCTGGTCTTGAAGGTCAGTCCTTCAGATCCTAGCCACTGGAGTAGCTGGACTTTCAGGCATGGGTTATGCACTTCTCCAAAATCTGACAACTTATCAGTTTCTTGACTTAGAAATAAGTACATATATTAGATAATCCTAAATCTATGAAAGAAGCTCAGTTTATAGACCTTCCAAAATAGAAAACTACCAGCCCATTTGGTTTCATGGACAAATTCTATCAAACATTGATGGAGAAGTTTTTCTTCAGAAAATAGAAAAGTAAAAATATTTTCCAACTTATTATATGAACGCAGTGTTATATACCCTCATACTGATGTTATACAAACATAGTACAAGAAAATTGGAGACTAGCAATCCCTCAGGCTGGCCCTCTGGCAAACCGGAGACACTTAGAGATACCAAGTCTAGAAAGAAAAGGAGGAGAGGGTAATGGAAAAGGAGGGAGAAAGACTATATTATCATCAGTACTTGAAGAAAAAGAACTTCACAGAATTTAACATGCAAGCTTAACTTCTACAAAAATCCCACAGCTAGATTCATACCACATACAGAGGGAGGTTTTGAGAAAAATGTAAATTCTCAGGAGTAAAGGTGTTAAATGAAGACCCAAGCTGCTTTCAGCTAGATAACTCATCAAAGAAGAATATTAAAGATATATTTTAGGGCAAAAGTAAAAAGTGAATTCAAGATCTTAAAGTATAGAACAACCAGTGAAGTTATTGACATAATCATAATTAACTCTCTAACAGAAGAATCATTTCTGTCTGAAATCCAAAAGAACATCTGTTGATGTCACCAGTTTCGTCCATGTTCTAATGAACAGTAGATCATCTGCCAACGAACAGTTCGGAGACTGTTAGATGTTTTTCTACTTATGACTTAGTACTGTATGGCTTTTCTTTCAGGAGTTTTTTGTGGAGCCATTTAATCGAAAAGCACGCCAAGAAAACTTGAGGTATAATAATATGCTTAAACAACTTAATAGCCAACAGTTGGCTACTCTTAGATGCTGGAAGGCAGTGCGACTCTATATCACAGGCGAAAGAGGTCCTTGGGCGGAAAGGTAGGATCTTATTTGTTAATAATTACTTTTTCTTTAAAATTCTGTAGAACTCTGTGTATGTGTGTGTATGTGTGTCTGATATTAGGGTTTGACCTCGGGACCTTGTGCCTGCTAGGTAGATGCTTTCCCACTTGATTATTTTTTTTTCTGAGTAGTGTTTTGTTTTATACCCTGGCAGGCCTGGACTTCAATCCACTTGTGATTCCCCTGTAACTGGGAGACATGTGTACAACTGCATCCACCTTTTTATTGGTTGAAATGAGATCTTTCAAGTTTTTGTTTAGGCTAGCCTCAAACTATCATCCTCCTGATCTCAGCCTCCTGGGTAGCTAGGACTATAGATGTGAGCTACATAGCACCTGGCTGTGCCTAGAACTTTTAAACCAGTTCTCTCATTTCCTCCACAGCCCCCCCTCCACCTTTGTTTTCTTTGTTTGGCTGCCAGAGTATAAATCCAGGATCTGTGCATGCTGGGCAAATGCTCTATTACTTGAGCCATGTCCACAGCCCTTATTTCCAATGTTTTTTTTTTGTTTGTTTTTGTTTTTTTTGCTAGTCCTGGAGCTTGAACTTAGGGCTTGGGCACTGTCCCTGAGATTCTTTCGCTCTAGGCTAGCACTATACCGCTTGACCACAGTGCCATTTCTGGCTTTTTCTGTTTATGTGGTACTGAAGAATCAAACCCAGGGCTTCATGCATGCTAGGCAAGCACTCTACCACATTCCCAGCCCTTCATTCCAATTTTTAAAGAGTACTTTTAATATTATTAATATTATTGCATCTTTGTGGCAGAGGTATTTATGGTAATTAAGAACTTCATTGAACAGTGAATAGTGAAGGTATCAAGCCTGAAATGTAAAAGTCCCTGTTTAAATCTTTTTTTTCTTGTTTAAATATAATAGAGCCATGTTTATTAAAATTAGAAGTAGCTTTTAAGGGTATTTGCTTCCATGATTTTTTTTTTTACTTTCTGTAGGCCTTGTACAAATAATTTAATTCAATACAGGATCCTCATGCATAAACTATAGGTAGCTACACAAACTCATTTTAATTCTCTCATGGTGGCTTGGTCAAATGAGATAATAAATGTGAACAAATATAATATACTGGCTACAGTATTTCAACCAACTAATCTTTGTAACTCTAAGCTAAGTAATTTTACTTGTTTGATTATAAATATTCTAAATATTTTTAGGAAACAGACTCCAATTCACTGGAAACTAGCTAATGTAGAAAATTATTCCCGCATGAGACTCAAACTGATGCCAAATTATAATTTCAAAACACATGAAGAAGCTAGTGCCTTAAGAGATAATTTTGGTGAGTTCCAATAACTGTGTGGTTATTTATTAAAGGTAAGGTATTACAGGGATAGGAATTAAGGTCTTACTAATTTTTAAATATTTACTTATGAAGGAAGAGTAGCATTTTAAAACTGGTTTTTAAACGGTATGGTTGTATGTATTCAATGCTGTTACATTTGACCTAAATCTAAGATGACTTCATATTTCCATTGGTTATAAGCTTTCAAAAAAAATTTTTTGCATTGCAATTTTTTAAATTAAGTTTTTTATTGTGGAAATACTGTACAGAGGGGTTACAGTTAACATGAGCAGAAAAAATATTTTAGTTACAAAGTTTACTGTAGTTTAAATCAAGCTGTCTCTTATAGTGGAACAATATCCTCCTTTAGAATGTTATTAAAAAACTAGACTTCTTAGTAATCTTTTAGTCTTTTATAATCTGTTTTTAAATAACTCTAGGCTGTTAGTATTTTAGGTGAGCCAGTGCCTTCTTCTAGAAAAATGTATTTTAACAGCAATATTTCAAAAACAGATGTCAAGGGATTTGTGTAGGTTGGTAGATGTTTGTGAGGCCATTGTGATGTCATATACATATGTGTATATATACACACATATATCAAGGTATATATATGTTATATATCATGGTATATACATATATATACACCATATATATGAATTTATATATGTATTTTACCACAGTCACTTCTACATTCTGTGCTCCATGACTGTGTTATTGGTGAACAGAGTTCCAACTTTTCCATTTTTAAATTTTATATATTGGCCAATATATTTAATACCATAAAATTAATTAAGGAAGCCATATACCTGCTATTTAGGGTCTTATATTCTAAAGTAATTCAAAGATAGTGATATTCTTTAACACAGAATAATATCCCTGTTGATAATATAATCACTGTGTTTGTAAATATTGTATATATGCAATATTTCCATTCCTACAAAATGTTTAGCTCATAAAATATAAATTGCATATATGTATCAGAATTAATTGCCTATTGGTTACTATATGCTTCAAAAATAAACATTTCTGCTCTTACTTTATGATTATCTGCTAGTTAAAAACAATTTGTCATGTTCTTCCTTAGGATTTCTTTTCTTTCTTTCTTTTTTTTTTGTCTGTTGCAGGGCTTGAACTCTGGACCTGGGCACTGTCCCTGAGCTCTTCAGCTCAAGGCAAGTGTTCTACCACTTGCCACTACCACAGCACCACTTTCAGTTTTTGGTTGGTTTAATTAGAAATAGGAGTCTCATGGACTTTCCTGCCTGGGCTGGCTTTGAACTGTGATCCTCAGATCTCAGCTTCCTGAGTAGCTAGGATAACAGGCGTGACCCACTGGCGACCGGCTAGGATTTCTTTAGTACAAATGCACAACAAAAAGTTTTATTACATTAATACATTGAAAATGATTATTTCTTTGACTTAATTATTGCTATTTTAGAATTTGTGTAATTATATGTGATTAATGGAGTTGTATTATTCAACTACATAAAATCGGTCTTTACTCGTTTTAGACTTTTTAATAGAAACAAAAGGAGACTGTCACTAAAAATAGTTACCTACCATGGTTTAGAAACTTTCCTTTGACCACATGTACATAATTTTTAAAATTACTATCAAATCAAGCATGGTGGCTCAAATCTCAAATCATCCCTACTCAAGAGACTGACATCTGGAGGTTATAGTTCAAAGCCAGCCTAGGCAGGAAACTCCATGAAACTCTTATCTTTAATTAACCATCCAAAAGTTGGAGGTGGACCTGTGACTCACCTGGTAGAGCACTAGCTTTTACCAAATAAGCTTGGAGACAGTGTCCAGGTCTTGAGTATAAGCCTTGGGACTTGAACAAAAAGCGTCTCTATCCAACATCATCTAATTCAAAGTACTATCTTGACTTGTAAAACACATCTATGATCATTATGTAATTAACAGTCAGAAATTATAGAGGGCTATAGTATTATTTTTTTGTTTAATAGATATTTTGTGTTTGAACAGGTGTCCAACAGTCACAGCCTTCCAGTGATTCGTTGCTTTTGGAAGCAGTAAAACAAGTTAAAGTTAGTGATTTGGAGGAGGATAAATTAGAACTTCTTGAAGAAGACTTAACAGCCAAAGTATATATGTATGTATAAGTATTGGAAAGAGTTTAAAATTGTTTTAAGAAATAGGATTTTGGATTAGCTTGAAATTCTAACGTACATTTCCAATGTTCAGGATTTAATTCCATGTCAGCTTTTAGAAGTCATCAGTGTTTACTGAGATTATCAAGCAAGGTTTCAAACTGGTGTCACTTAGAGTTTGTCCCTGAAATAAGAAAATATTTTTTTCAATAAAAAATAAGTGGAGGTTTATGCCCATGATCCTACCTACTCAGAAGGCTGAGATCTGAGGACTGCAGTTGAAAGCCAGTGAAGTTAGGAAATTCTCTGAGACTCAAATCACCAGAATTGAAGCTGTGGAACTGTGGTTCCCTCGGACGCTCACAAAATACTAAATGAAAAACAAGATATCAAATTGGTGAGATCCAGATAAGGCTTAGGTAGTATAGGGCCTGAGTGTAGCTCACTGGTATAGTACCTACCAAATATGCACAAAATCTTATATTTGACCTCCATCATGTAAAAAAAAAAAGTCAGTAAAATAAAGATTAAACACTATGAAAGAAAAATGAGGCAGAAAAAAAGGATTAAGGAATGGCAAACCATTAAAAAATAAACAAAAAGCAAGAAACATAAGCCTCTGGCCAGGCTATTTAGGAACAAAAGGCAGCAATAATCAGTTTCAGGAATGAAAAAAGAAATATCACCACCAATATTAAAATGATTAAAAGGGAAAATATTCTTTTTCAATGCTTTCATGATAGTAAATTTCATCATGTAAATGAACAAATTCTTTGACATACAAATTACCAAACCTCCCTCAGGAAGAAGTAGATACCTGTATAGCTTTAGATATATTTTTCAAATTTGAGTTAATAGCTTTAAATGTTCACTCATGCAAATATAAAATATATTATTTTCTCATCTCTTTTGTTTCTGTTTTCATGTATATTATGGTTACATTTGTCACATAATTACTAAACTTAGTAACTGATTATCATCTTCTGTCATATATTGGCTTTCAGACAGAAGGCCTTCATGTTTTTGGTGAGGGGGTTGCTAGGATTTGAACTCAAGGTTTTGCATTTTCTAGGCAGGCATTCTTCCATTTGAGTCACACACACACACACACACACACACACACACACACACACACACACACACATCCAACCCTTTAAAGTATTAATTATTTTTCTTGTAGGTCTCACATTTATGCCAAGGCCAACATGGACAGTGATTCTTATTTATGTGTCCCACATAGTTAGGCTGACAGGCAAACATTACCATGCCCAGCTTACTCATTGAGATGCGGGTCTTCTAACCTTTTGTACCAGCTGGCTTTGCACTGAAATTCTCCACATCTTTATATCTTTGAATTATAGCCATTGACCACTGTAAGGGAAGTTAAGGAAAGTTAATAGCTACAGATTCTCTCAGTCTTTGCTACCTATGGAAATTTTTATTTTTGTGTTCATTTTTTGGCTTCTTGGCTTTTTTCAATTTTTAATATACATTTTTATTGTAAAGATATTGTACAAAGGGGTTACAGTTACATCAGCAAGGTAATGAGTCCATTTCCTATGGAGCATTGTTACCCTTTCCTTTGTTTTTCCCCTTTTCATTTTTTTTTTTGAGACAGTGTCACTCTGTTGCTGTAGCTGTCCTGTATCTTGAGACCCCTGCCTTAACCTACTGAGGGTTTGGAATTACAGGTGCATTGCTTCATTTTAAAATCAAGCTTTACTATTTTAAACTATACAATTCAGTGGTTTCTTAGTATAGTCAGTAGATTATGCAAGCATAATCACTATGTAATTTCACAGCATTTCTATCACCTCCAGAGTAAAGCCTATACTTTTTAGTAATCCAAATGTCCTGGCTCCACAGTGTCCTATGGAGCAATACATTTCCTATAAATCATACAATATGTGGCTCTGTGTGCCTGGCCTATTTTATTTTGGCATGTCTCCATAATAGTGCTTAATTATTTTTATGGTGAATATTATTCTGTTTGTGGGTGTCATATTTGGTCTAGCTGTTCATTAGTCCCTACTTTTTGCCTCTTATGAATAATAGTTCCATGAATATATATGTATGAGTTTTTTGATTGGTTATTTTTGTTTTTGTTTTTGTTTGGCCAGCCCTGGGGCTTAAACTCAGGCTCTGGATGCTGTCCCTGAGCTTCTTTTGCTCAAGGTTAGCATTCTACCACTTGAGCTACTTCTGGCTTTTTTGGTTTATGTGTTACTGAGGAATTGAACCCAGGGCTTCATGCATGCTAAGCAAGCACTCTACCACTAAGCCACATTCCCAGCCCATATGTATGAGTTTGTATATGACCATATATCTTTAGTTATATTGAGTGTGTACTTGAGGGGAATTTCTAGCTCATGTGATACCTTCTTTTTGTCCTTTCAGGGTATTACCATGTATGTGTATGTATGTGTGTATATGCATGTGTGTGTGTGTGTGTGTGTATGTGTGTCTATCTGTCTGTCTGTCTCTCTCTATGTACTGTTCCTGGGGCTTGAACTCGGGGCTTGGGCATTGTCTCTGAGATTTTCTTGCTCAAGACAGTATTCTTCTACTTGAGCCACAGCTCCACTTCTGCTTTTTGGTAGTTAATTGAAGATGAGTAACATGGAGTTTTGTTTTGAACCACAGTCCACAAATCTCAGCCTCCTGAGTACCTAGGATTCTAGTCATGAGCCACTGGGGCTCAGCGCCAAAATGTTTTTTATAGTGACTACTTTGTTTTACATTCTTACTAGCAATGTTTGGGATTTCTCACTTCTCTCCATCTACTCTTAACTCCTATTTCTTTTCTTCTTAAAAATTAATTAAAGCTTCCGGGTGCCAGTGTCTCATGCTGAGCCTGGCTAGGAAAGTCCTTGAGACTCTTACTAAACACCATAAAGCCAGAAGTGGAGCTGTGACTCAAGTAGTAGAGCACTAGCCTTGAGTAAAAAATCTCAGAGACAGCCAGCCACCCATGTCCTGAGTTCAGGCCCCAGGAGAGGCACACACGCATGCAAAAAAATTATTAGAGCCATTCCAGACTGTTGGAAATGGTATCTCATTAGCATTTCTCTAATGACTAATAATATGGGCTGTTTTTTCATTGTTGATTATTTATGTCTTCTTTGGTGAAATTTCTATGCAAAATTTTTGCCCATTTGTAAATTGGTTGAGTTCTAAGAATTCTTTCTATTTTTTAATTTTTTGCCAGTCCTGGGGCTTGAATTCGGCCTGGGCACTGTCCTTGAACTTCTTTTGTTCAAGGCTAGCACTCTATCAACTTGAGCTCTAGCACCAATTCTGGCCTTTTCTGTGTATGTGGTACTGAGAAATATAAATCAGGGCTTCATGCAGACTAGGCAAGCACTCTACCACTAAGCCACATTCTCAGCACCTAAGGATTCTTTATATAATCTGGAGATATATGACCTACAAATTTTATCTGCTAGTGGATCTTTGGTTTTCACTTTTTGTTTTCTTTTGTTTTTGGGTCTGGTCGTGGGGCCTGGGCACTGTTCCTCAGCTCTTCAGCTCAAGGCTAGTGCTCTACCACTTGAGCCACAGCATCACTTCCGGCTTTTTTCTTTTTGCTTATGTGGTGCTAAGGAATTGAACCCAGGGCCTCATGCATGGAAGGCAAACGCTCTACTACTGAGCCACCTTCCCAGCCCTGTTTTCTTTTCTTTTGAGATGGAATTTTACAATGTTTTGTTTGGTCTTAAACTCCAAAGCTCTAGTGATTATCCTGCCTCAGTCTCCTTAGTAGCTGAGAATATAGGCACACGTCACTGTATCTAGCATTATTTTCTTGATGGCATCTTTTGTAAAGGTTTTAATTTTGAAGAAATCCAAATATCTGTTTTTCCCCCTTTTTTAAGGCCATTAGTGCCATATTTTAGTAATTATTGCCTAATCCAAAGTCATTCAAATATTCTTATAATTTCGTTCTTAAATTTAGATTTTTGAGCTTAATTTATTTTTGTATATAATGTGAAAGAGGTGTACAGATTCATTCTTTTTATGTGATTATCTAGGATTTTTTTTGCGGGGGGGCTGGCCCAGTCGTGGGGCCTGAACTCTGGGCCTGGGCACTGTCCCTCAGCTCTTCAGCTCAAGGCTAGCGCTCTACCACTTGAGCCACAGCACCACTTCCGGCTTTTTTCTTTTTGCTTATGTGGTGCTGAGGAATCGAACCCAGGGCCTCAGGCATGCAAGGCAAGTGCTCTACCACTGAGCCACCTTCCCAGCCCATTAAGAAGATATTCTTCTTCTTTTTTTTTTTGTCGGTCGTGGGGCCTGAACTCTGGGCCTGGGCACTGTCCCTCAGTTCTTCGGCTCAAGGCGAGCACTCTACCACTTGAGCCACAGCACCACTTCCTAGGATTTTTTAATGTGTTCAGCACCATTACCTTTAATTAATGTATAGTTCATTTATTACAAATATTACTGAGCTCCTAGTTGTCAGTTATTTTCTTTCCATTTATTAGGTATTATATTCTTTTGTTTCCATTATTTGCAATAACTAGTATATGTCTGAGTCAAGCAGAAAAGGTCAGATAAGGTGATGTTAGGGAAATGAACCTGAAGATATATATTCAAATTCTTTTTTCTTTCATGCGATTGTTTCTAACACACTTATAAGATTATTTCTTTGTTGCTTTGTATGTCCCTCCCCCACAGTATAACCCCTGCTTTTACTGTATTTGATGTTGGTATAATTTGTGGAGGGGAAGGGAAAAAACAAATTGTTTAAATAGGAATACAGGTGGACCCATTGCAACAATGAGATGTACAAGTCGTTATGTCGAAAACGAACTTTACAACTTTGGGAGGGGGGGAGGAGGACTGGGTGGAGGGACGGGGGGAGGAAGGGAAGGGATGGGAAGGGGAAACAAAGGAGGAAGCTACAATGCTTGATAAGAAATGTACTTCTGTACAGTATTTTCACAATAAAATAAAATGTAGAATCAAGCTGAGCACTGATGGCTCATACATGTAATTCAAGCTGCTCAGGAGGCTGATCTGAAGATCATAGTTTAAAGCCAGCCTGGGCAGAAAAGTCTATGAGACTATTATCTCCAGTTAACCACCAGAACACCAGAAGTAGAGCTGTAGCACAAAGTGGTAGAGCAAAAGCCTGAGTGGTAGAGCACTAGTCTTCAGCAAAAGAGCTCAGGGACAGCAGGTCCTAAGGTCAAGCCCCATGACAGACCAAAAAAAAAAAAAAATAGAATCAATGCACTGTCATTAAATATAAATAACATTTAGAACTTCTTTTAGACTACTTACTACTCAGTTTAGTACCAAACATTGAAATTTTACAAACATCTTTTTAGTGATTCTTTTTTTTTCCTAAGCCATAGCTTTAACTAAAGGGCTATAATATCACTAGCTAAGTTGTTGAAACTTACAGAATGTCTTCATATAAATTCATGGAAATGGATTAGACTTAATCATTGCTATTCTGGACACGAGGCATTTATGAAATAACTAGAGAGAAGCTAGCCAAAATAATTGCATGAATAATATTTTGTGAGTAGTAGTAGTTCCCACTTCTATACTAAGCAGAAAAAGTTACCTAAGGTAACTCAATTTTTCTTTTTCAAGAAATAGCATGGTTTCAGTTCTCCTTATACAAGATGACTGTGAGTAAGGTATGGCATTGGTAGTTGTTTATATTATCTCTAGTTGTGTTGTTAAGATGTTCCATTGTCATGATGATGATGCAATGGTTTTAGTTACTCTTGGAAAGTTTCAATTTAGAGTTTGAAAATCATAATTAGGTACTAGGTGCTGTGGTTCAATCTTGTACTTATTCTCAGATAGTTGGGAGGCTGAAATAGAAGAATCACGAGTTTGAAAGTAACCTGTTATCTCAAATATAATTAGTGTTACTAACAATTTACAAGACACTACTATTAATACAGTCTTAAAAAATATTTTAGTAGTTGTACAAAGGAATTTAAGTCCAACATTTCACTTCTATGAGCACAGTACATCTTGAACAGTATCACCCCTTCCATCATTCTCCTTCATCTTTCCCAACCCCATTCATCTGTCATTTCTTGGTTTCATTTCTACATATGTACATTGAATATTATGACTGTTTTTGTCTATCCTCTCTCTCTCCATTTGCCTGTCTCCCTCCCTTAAACCCCTAACTTATACATATAAGAGAAATCATGTGCCTTTTTACTCTCTGATTTAATCTAACATAACTTTTTTCCAGGCCCATCCATTTACCTGCAAATGACATAATATTGTTTTCCTGATGGATACATAAAATTTTATTTTGTGTATGTGTGTGTGTTTGTGTGTGTGTGTATGTGACATTTTCTTGATCTATTCTTCCATTGTAGGGTAATGAAATGATGGATATTTTTCTGTAACTAGTCTATGATATTTAGTCTAGCAATGAACATAGGTATGCAAGTATCTTTACTGTATCCTGATTTATAATCATAATGCAGTGTTTATCCACAGATTTATATTTTTCTGGGTAAATTTATGGTTCTCAGACTATGAGTAAAGTGACATGACAATATTGTTACATTTTTTTAAATCTGTCCTCTGCCACTTGTATTAGATTTACTATGTTTTGTTTTAAAAATTGTAAAGCATGTTTTTTTAAATACAGCTGAATCCGGATTAAAAAATATTTGGATGGCTAGGCAGGAAAGTTTGTGAGACCCTTATCTCCAATTACCCACCAAAAAGCCAGAAGTAGAGCTGCGATGTAGGTGGTAGCCTTAAGCAAAAATGTTCAGGGACAGTTCCCAGGCCCTGAGTTCAGGCCACAGGACTGGTACACAAAAAATAAAATTTGAGCCAGGCGCCGGTGGCTCACGCCTGTAATCCTAGCTACTTAGGAGGCTGAGATCTGAGGATTGCAGTTCAAAGCCAGCCTGGGCAAGAAAGACCGTGAGACTCTTATCTCCAATAAACCACTAGAAAACCGGAAGTGGCGCTGTGGCTCAAGCAGTAGAGTGCTCTCCTTGAGCTGAAAAACATAGGGACAGCGCCCAAGCCCAGAGTTCAAGCACAGCGGCCGACCAAAAAATAATAAAAATAAAAAATAAAAAAATAATATCTGGATGCTATTTAAGCAATTTAATATTCAGTAGGATGTTTCTTGTAGGTAATTAAAATATTCTTTCTTGAACACATAATTTCATGAGTTTGAGTTTAAATTTGAATGTGATATTCTTTTCCACTTAGGCAGGATAAATTGATGAGTACATTAAAAGTTTCCTTTTGTTTTACAGTGATGACAAAGAACAGGATCAAAAAGAAAAATTGGTGTTGACAGAAGACTGTGAACTCATTACAATAATTGACATAATTCCTGGCAGATTAGAAATCACTACTCAGCATATTTACTTCTATGATAGCAGCATTGAAAAAGAAGATGGTGAGGAGTTTTTGGAAAGTGGTTTCTGCTCAGTGATTAAATACCCAATTTAATCAGACATGAATGAGAAGAAAGCAGTTAAGATGGGACTGTGGAGACATAGTCTATAATGTAGAATGAAAAGTACAAAGTCAGTAACAGGTTTAATTTTTATCCAACAGTGTATTAAAGGAGAATGCTTTTATTTTGTATAAAAATTGTGGATGTATTTTGTGTGTGTGTGTGTGTGTGTGTGTGTATGCATATGTGTGTTATCACTGTTTGAACCCATGTATCATGTAGCTAGGCATGTATCATGAAGCTACATCTATAATATTATTTATTTTATTTTGAGACAATATATTGGTAAGTTGTTTAGGTTGGCCTTGAACTTGGAATGCTCCTGCCTTGTTCTCCCATATAGCTGATATTTCAAGCATACAGCACCATACCTGGATGTTTTAATTTTTTTATTATTCATATATTTCTAAGGGTTGGCTAGAAGGGCTCAAAATACAATTATAAAATCTAAATACATTTTAATTTATCCTACATTATATATTTACTTTATCCTGTAAGTGTGTAATTTTTTTTTAAGCCTTAGAGTTTGAAATCAGGGCTTTGGCTTGCTAGGCTAATGTTCTACCACTGAAGCCATGACCCCAGCCTTCTTTTTTTTTTTTTCTGCTTTAGTTTGTATATCAGGTAGCTTTTTCCTGGGCCAGTCTTGGACTGGCCTTCTACCTTTCTCTCTCTGTATTGCTAGGATTACAGGAGTGAACCATTATGTCTGGCTTTTTTGGTTGTTGTTTGTTTTTAAGATAGGGTCTCACTGGGATATAGGCATGAGTCACCATGCCTGCTCCCTCACTTAATCATTTATATGATAATAAAATGCTGATAAATCCAAAAATAAAACAAAAGAAAACTTTTTCTAAGTTATAATATCTAGAATTATCATTTGTTCTCATGAGAAGACAGTAGTATAGCTATACAAATTTAAATAGTTCTATAAATATCCAATAAATTTAATAAATAAATTTTTTGTGCCAGTACTACTGCTTGAACTCAGGGCTTGGACACTGTCCTTAATCTTTTTTGCTCAAGGTTAATGATCTGTCACTTGAGCCATAGTTCCTCTTCTAGTTTTTTTTTTTAAGTGGGTTTTTTGGGGGGTGGTTAATTGGAGATCAGAATTTCACATACTTTCCTGCTGCTGGGACTGGCTTTGAACCTTGATCCTCAGCTTCTTGAGTAGTTAGAATTATAGGCTTGAGCCTCCAGCTCCTGGCATAAATGATATGTATATATTTAGTCAGTTGTGGTGCTTGAACTCAAATCTGGGAGTTGTTCCTGAGCTTTTCTGCTCAAGGTTAGCACTCTACCACTTTGAGCCATAGCTCCACTTCCAGTTTTCTGGTGGTTAATTGGAGTAAGTTTCTAGAAACTTTCCTGCCTAGACTGACTTTGAACCTCAATGTTCAGATCTCAGCCTCCTTAGTAGCTAGGATTTGAGGCATGAGATAACCAGCGCAGAGAATAAATGATTTTTATAATGTTCAATTTCTTTTTCTTATATGATACTTTTGTCAGGAACAGGAGACATTTTCTACATAGTAAAAGTAACTTTATTTGGTACTCCAGTCACAGGATTTCCTCTGTTTTTAGGAATAGGCTTTGATTTCAAGTGGCCTCATTCTCAAGTTCGAGAGATTCACTTACGGCGTTACAATTTAAGGAGATCAGCTCTTGAGATTTTCCATGTTGACCAATCCAACTACTTTCTTAATTTCAAAAAAGAGGTAAGGTACTTTTCTGGCTATCACAGAGTATTAGCTTGACATAATCTTCCAGTGAGCTTTAATATAGAAAGAATAGAAGTTAATCAGCACATATATTTTTTTGTTGGATATTGAGTGCTGGAGTGGTGGCTTTTAGTTTGTGTGTATACAGTACTGTGAAGTATTAGAATATTGAGTATCAGCCAAAAGATATCCAACAATAATATAACATGCAGTAAATAAAACATATTTGGAGGCTCAATCCCATTACTAAGGAAGCTCAGATAGGACTGAAAGTTTGAAGCCAGCCTGAGCTATATAACAAGACCATCTCAAAGTTTTTAAAAGTTTGTAATTTAAAAAAGGTTGGACTCAAATTCAACAGTAATGATACCTGAGGAGGTAGCTCAGTGACAGATTACTTGCCTATACTGTGTAAGGCTCTTGGCTTGATATCTCATACTATTAAAAATGACCCTATCACAGTAAATTATAATGGGACAGCTGTTTCTTATAGAAATATATCTTATTGTAAAATAGTGTAAGTGGTTGAACACACAGTCTCTCAACCAGATTACTTGGGTCTGAGTACTATCTTTATCACGAACTGTTGGCTTGTTAATTAAGATGGATACTTGAACTATACCTTTCTTCACTCTTACTCACATTGGACCACAATGTGTTACTGTCAGACTCCTGTTTGCTTTCATAAGCATCCTGCCTAATAAAGTTCTTGCATGTTTAATTCTGTCCTGGTATCTGCTTTTCATAGGACCGAGATTAGCATGGGCAATAACTAGTTTTCTGTTCACAGGGAAGGAACTGTTATAGATTTACTTATAAACTGGCTCAGATATTTTAAGAGCATTTTTCTATTTTTATAAAACAATGTATTTTTACTTTTAAAATTCTTCTTCAAAAAAATTCTCCTTCATAAAATAAATATAAAGCATGAATGTGTTTTATGGAAAGCTGTACTGTTTAATTAAACCAGGTCTCTCCTTGCTAAATATATCTGTATAACCTTTGTAGTTTTTGGAGCATATTTATGCAAAACATATTAATTTCCTAACAGCCTCGAGATTAAGTATGTTTAATGCCAGTACTCTTTTTTTATAGTTAAGAAAAAATTAATTTTATATTACATTTTTATACATACACCATAGGGTATAAATTATGTATATTTACATGTGAGACTCAATAAGTTATTTAATTTTCTAAGATTATTAGTAAATAGCAGAGCTAAATTTGACTTAGACTTGAACACATTTTCTTTTTTCTTTTTTTTTGTCAGTTGTGGGGCTTGAACTCTGGGCCTGGGCGCATGCCCTCAGCTCTTCAGCTCAAGGCTAGCACTCTACCACTTGAGACACAGCACCACTTCTGGTTTTCTGAGCCGATTATTAGAGATAAGAGTCTCACAGACTTTCATGCTCAGGCTATCTTTGAACGGTGATCCCCCTGAGTAGCTAGGATTATAGGCATGAGCCACCAGCGTCTGGCTGAACACATTTTCTGATTCAAAGTTTAATGGTCTTTCATTGTAGATTGATTAGATAGTTTAACTTCAGTTGCTTCAATTTATTCTCTGTTGCTCTGACAAAGTACTTGTTACCAGATAATCTAAAAGAATACAAGTTTTGGGCTGGGAAGGTGGCTCAGTGGTAGAGCACTTGCCTTGCATGCCTGAGACCCTGGGTTCGATTCCTCAGCACCACATAAGCAAAGAGAAAAAAAGCCGGAAGTGGCGCTGTGGCTCAAGTGGTAGAGCGCTAGCCTTGAGCTGAAGAGCTGAGGGACAGTGCCCAGGCCCAGAGTTCAGGCCCCACGACCGGACCAAAAAAAAAAACAAAGAATACAAGTTTATGCAGTTAGGGAGCTAGGAAGACCCACAGCCTGATGAGGGCCTATATGTGGCACAGAGTACACCACATGGAAATTAATATAATCATATCAAATTAGAAAACTCACTTCCTGCCGGACGCTGGTGGCTCACGCCTGTAATCCTAGCTACTCAGGAGGCTGAGAGATCTGAGGATCGCAGTTCAAAGCCAGCCTGGGCAGGAGAGACCGTGAGACACCTATCTCCAATAAACCACCAGAAAACTGGAAGTGGCGCTGTAGCTCAAGTGGTAGAGCGCTCGCCTTGAGCTGAAGAGCTGAGGGACAGCGCCCAGGTCCAGAGTTCAAGCCCCACAACTGACAAAAAAAAAAAAGAAAATTCACTTCCTCACCTTTTGTTTGTTTGTTTGTTTGTTTTTGTTGGTCTTGGGGTTTGAACTCTGGGCTTGGGCACTATCACTCAGCTCTTCAGCTCAAGGCGAGTACTCTACTGCTCGAGCCACAGTGCCACTTCCAGTTTTTTAGTGGTTTATTGGAGATAAGAGTCTCATGGACTTCCTTGTCTGGGCTGGCTTTGAACCATGATCCTCAGATCTCAGCCTCCTGAGTAGCTAGCATTGTAAGCGTGAGCCACCGGCTCCAGGTTTCCTCACTTTTTAAGGCCACTAGTTCATCATGAAGTTCCTGTTCTCATGACTTTACATAATATACCTCCCAAAAACCTCACTGATAACTGTGAAAATCTACATTAGGATCATGTTTCCAACACATAAACTTTTGAGGAATACGTTCAATCTATAGCACAAATTATAGTAGACACTTAAAACCATTACCCACTATTAATATGAAATGTCCAGAGCAGGCACATCCTTAGAGAGAAAGTAGATTGTTGGTTGTCCAGGGTTGAAAAGGAAGAAGAATTGGAGAATAACTGCTAGAAAGTATGGGATTTAAGGAGGGATATGATGAAAAATTAAATAATGGTGTCAGTTGTACATCTCTATGAATATACTATAAAACTATTTGTATTCTTTTAAAAGGTGAATTATAATTCAACTAAAGCTATTAGATAATAATCTAAGTTTGTCTTGATCAGTTTTTAAATTACATGATGGTATTTTTTCAATAGGTTAGAAATAAAGTATATAGCAGACTGTTGTCCCTTCATTCTCCAAATAGTTATGGGACGAGATCACCACAGGAGTTATTCAAAGCATCAGGACTGACACAGGTAAGAAAAAGTTGCTGTGTTGGTGTTGACTTTCATTGCAGATTTATGCTGTGTTCCTTTTGATTATTACCCTTTGATTGTTAAAACTGCTATTCTTCCATTTATACCGATTGTTGGAATTATTTTTTTTTTTGGGGGTCCAGTCGTGGAGCCTGAACTCTGGGCTTGGGTGCTGTCCCTCAGCTCTTCAGCTCAAGGCTAGCGCTCTACCACTTGAGCCACAAGGCCACTTCCGGCTTTTTTCTTTTTGCTTATGTGGTGCTGAGGAATCAAACCCAGGGCCTCATGTATGCAAGGCAAGCGCTCTATCACTGAGCCACCTTCCCAGCCCTGGATTATTTTTAAATCTTCTTTTATTACCTTTACATGCTTCCCTTCCCCTACCTTCCATATCATTCAATTCATGAATATATCCTTCAATAATTTTCTATTTTTCTTAATAAAAATCAAACACGAGGAAAAAACAAAGACACCCTGGAAAAATGCAAATAAAATTGCCATATCTTCTGCCAGCAAAAGCTAATTAATATTCATGGGAATTACATTCTTATACTTCAGAGTTTGTACTGCAAAGACCCAAAAGAAGGCTATTGGTTTTGCTTTCCAGGAGTGTTAGTAGTTTCTCAAGCAGTATCTTCACCTCCTAGCTCTCTTCTCTCTTCCATATATGCATTCATCTTGTTGCCCACAGGTGTTGCTATTATTCAATACCTATCAGCAACGTGTATGTGCATGATGGACCCAGGGTCTCATGCTTGTAAATCATGACCAGCACCCCATACCAGTTCTTTACTATTGCCACTGAAATAGCTTTATTTAGTAATGTACATTCTCCTTTACCTATGCAGTGCACTTCACTAAGTACTGATTCCTCAAGCTGGCTCTCAAGAACAATTGAGCTTTCTAATTTCATTTCTCACTATTCATCATGTGTATATCCTTTGCTGCAGGCATGAAAAAGCTTAAAAGTGAATGATAATCTCTCAGCAAAATTCTCAAACACACCTTTATAGTATACAATAATTAGATGCCGCTGGGTGCCGGTGGCTCACGCCTGTAATCCTAGCTGTTCAGGAGGCTGAGATCTGAGGATCATGGTTCAAAGCCAGCCCGGGCAGGAAAGTCTGTGAGACTCTTATCTCCAATAAACCACTAGAAAAATGGAAGTGGCGCTGTGGCTTAAGCAATAGAGAGCTTGCCTTGAGCTGAAGAGCTGAGGGTAGGACAGTACCCAGGCCCGAGTTCAAGCCCCATGACAAACAAAAAAAACTTAGATGCCTAAATATTGTGAGGTGATAAGTAGAAAATCAAATGATCTGTTTCTTTAGAAAATTTGTATTCAGTGTAGCAGAATCTGTTTACTATTGCTCTATAAATGTAGTTTTTAAGCTGGGAACTGGTGGCTCACACCCATAATACTAGCTACTAAGGAGGCTAAGAGAAGTGGATAATGGTTCAAGACCAGCATAGGCAAAAATGTTGGTGAAACCCTTGAAAATAACCAGCAAAGATGGGGTTGAAAATGTGGGGCTGAAAATGTGACTCAAGTGGTATAGCAAGTACAAGGTCTTGAATTTAAGCTTCAATTCTACACACAAAAAAAAGTTTTCTTGGAATACTTAATGGAATGTTTCATTATTAATGAAGTTAAAATCCCTCTGTACATGACCTTGACAATAAAATTCAATTTTAAAAAACAGATTAAGGATAGTTTTAGTACATTAAAACACTTTTTAATATGTTGATTTATGAAATTTCCAGTTTCTAACAAAACTTTCAAAGTAGAACATTTTAATACTTAAAATTTTAGGATATTCTGATAAACTATTTAACTGAAGAAAATACTTAATTTGATTTAATGATTTTTATGATACTGGGGATTGAACTCATGGTTTAATGCATGTTAAGCAGATGTGATTTTCTCAACCTGTGCTTACACTTCAGCCCTCCCTACCTTTTTTTTTTTTTTTTTTTGTACAAGGGCTTACTAAAATGGCCAAGTTAAGCTGGATGCTGGTGGCTCACGCCTGTAATTCTAGCTACTCAGGAGGCTGAGATCTGAGAATCGTGGTTCAAAGCCAGCCCAGGCAGGAAACTGTTATCTCCAATAAACCACCAGAAAACGGGGAGTGACACTGTGGCTCAAGTGGTAGAGCATTAGCCTTGAGCTGAAGAGCTGAAGGACAGTGCCCAGGCCCAGAGTTCAAGACCCATGGCCGAGGAAAAAACACACACACACACAAAAAAAACAAAAAAAACCTAAAATGGTCATGCTAGTCTTGAAGTTTCAATCTTCCTGTCTCTGTATGAACTGGGATTACAGATGTGTGTGCTACCATGACTTAATTTTTTCTTTTCTTTTTTTGTGCTGGTCCTGGGGCTTGAACTCAGGGCGTGGGCACCATCTCTGAGCTTTTATACTCAAGGCTACTACTCTACCACTTTGAGCCATAGTGCCATTTTCAGCTTTTTGGCAGGTAATTGGAGACAAGAGTCTCATAGACTTTCCTGCCCAAGCTGGCTTTGAACTGTGATGCTCAGATCTCAGCCTCCTGGGTATGAGTCACCGACACCTGGCTTACAACTTAATTTTTATCAAGGTCTTAGGTTTCAGACCATAGCATAAAGTATATGCTCAGTTTTCTGTTTTCAAAATTCTAGAGGCAGGGCTGGGAAGGTGGTTCAGTGGTAGAGCGCTTGCCTTGCATGCCTGAGGCCCTGGGTTCGATTCCTCAGCACCACATAAGCAAAAAGAAAAAAAGCCGGAAGTGGCGCTGTGGCTCAAGTGGTAGAGTGCTAGCCTTGAGCTGAAGAGCTGAGGGACAGCGCCCAGGCCCAGAGTTCAGGCCCCACGACCGGACCCCCCCCAAAAAAATTCTAGAGGCAAATGTATTAGGGTAAATTGAGGAAAAGTAGATGTATCTCAGCATTAAATCTTTTTCTTCTTCTTCTTTCTTCTTTCTTCTTCTTCTTCTTCTTCTTCTTCTTCTTCTTCTTCCTCTTCCTTCTTCTTCCTCCTCCTCCTCCTTCTTCTTCTTCTTCTTTCTTCTTCCTCCTTCTTCTTCCTCCTCCTCCTTCTCGTCCTCCTCCTCCTTCTCGTCCTCCTCCTCCTCCTCTTCCTCTTCCTTCTCCCACTTGAGCCACAGCGCCACTTCTGGTTTTCTGGTGTAAACTTTTCTTTTAGCACCATTCTTTTTATTATTAGGTTGATAAGATATAGTGAGTAGATAATGTTGGTCCTGTTAGTAATAGCTGCCTGTTTCTAAGGTATAGATTATGTAACTCTGATATTGTTCTTTTTTCTGTCTAGAAATGGGTGAACAGAGAGATATCAAATTTTGACTATCTCATTCAAATAAATACCATGGCAGGAAGAACCTATAATGACCTTGCACAATATCCTGTGGTAAGTTTTGTGTAAATATCAAAATTGAAATTGTCTTGCAGGTTGATAATTTGTAAAACTGAATACATGTACATATATACATGTAAACAATAAGCCTGCCTGATACATAGATTTATTAAGTGGTTTTTAACCAAGTGTGGTTAAAAAAAAGCAAGTTTAAAAATTGTAAATTTCAAATCAAGTTGTAAATTTCAAAATGAAAATTATTTAATTTCCATGTGTACATTGCACAGCTAGTTGAGTCTGAGTGTATGGTTACTGTCACATTATCATCACTGTGTTTAATTTGCTGAGTATTTGTAAAAATATGCCTTTACAAAAACAAGGTGCTGAATAATCAAGGTGTAAAAGCAAATGTTCTTAATGATAAAGTTAAACTTTTGTTGAAAGGCAACATATCTTTTGCAGAAATTGGGGAACATTTAGGGTAAATAAGTGAAGCATCCGCAGTACAGCACTTAATCCAGCATTCATGGTTTTTCTTCAGTGGTTGTCTTCTTGCAACCAACTATAAACCTATAAATTCCCAAGGTGTGCTTTATACACACACTTTTTGCCTTTTTGCATATTTTCTGCCTTGGTACTTTTAAAAAATAAATAAATAAAAATAATTTAAAAGTATATCTCTTTTTATTTCATTGAAAATATTCCAGTGGAATTAGAAGAAATTACACTATTGAATGCATAAAGTACTTGTAACAGGTAAAGTGGTTTTAGAGACTATCCCTTTTTGTCTCTATATAAGTATTCTATATGACATATGAAGGTATTAGCTTCTCTAAGAAGAAACTATATAAATTGTAACTTTGGCTCTTTTAGTTTCCCTGGATTTTACAAGATTATACTTCAGAAGAGTTGGATCTTAATAATCCTGCCGTATTTCGAGATCTTTCTAAACCAATTGGAGTAGTTAATGATAAAAATGCCAAAGCCATGCGAGAAAAGTAAGTGATTTGTAACTCTGTGGTAATATATATTGTTTGATTTCTTTTGATTTCTGCCAGTGTCAGCCAAATGTTATTTTTTTTAATACCAAGTACTTTTGATACTTAGTTTGATAATTGCTTCACTAAATTTTTTGGTTCTGTTGCTAAGAATTGCTTTCTAAACGGTAATAGTTTTTGTTTTGTTTTGTTTTGTCTGTCGTGGGGCCTGAACTCTGGGCCTGGGTGCTGTCCCTCAGCTCTTCAGCTCAAGGCTAGTGCTCTACCACTGGAGCCATAGCACTGCTTCTGGCTTTTTCTGCTTATGTGGTGCTAAGGAATAGAACCCAGGGCCTCATGCATGCAAGGCAAGCATTTTACCACTGAGCCACCTTCCCAGCCCCGGGTAATAGGTTTTTGATATTTTTCTTTCCAAGTATTTTAGACTTACCCTACTGATATATGTATAAATGTTCATCTGATAGAATATTTTGAAAAATGGTATAAAATGGATTATCCTAACCTATTATTCCAAATAATGTGAATGAAAATAATCAATGGAAATTCAGAAAGTTTAATTTTGATAAGAGAAGCAAAATTTCTAGAAGTTCTACTCACCTGTCAACTTCTCACAGTGTTGGGTTGTTTTGGTTTTTTTTTTTAAATCAAGCTCTAATACAAAGAATAATTTATTTTTTGTTTTTGTACTGGTCCTGGGTCTTGAACTCAGGCCCTGGGCACGTCCCTGAGCTTTTGTGCTCAAGGCTGGTGTTCTGCTACTTGAGCCATAGCTCCACTTCCAGCTTTTAGGAGGATAATTGGAGAGATTCATCTCATGAATCTCACTAGCTTTGAACTGTCCTGAGATCTCAGCCTCCTGAGTAGCTAGGATTACAGATGTAGCCACCAGTACCCCAATTTTATTTATTTATTTTTCCTTTAGATTACTACACATTGATTTCTACAACTTTGTGTGTTTGTTTAGTACTGGGGTTTGAACAGGGGGCCTTATGTTCTCATTTGGCCTTTTTGCTCAAGGCTGGCCCTTTACCACTTGAGCTATACCTCTACTTTTGAATATTAGCAGATTAATTAGAGAAAAGTATCAGGGGTTTTCCTGCCTGAACTTAATTTAAACCACTATCCTCATACTCAGCCTCACAAGAAGCTAAAATTATATTTGTAAACCACCAGCATCTGGCCAATTTCAACAATTTTTGACTCCTGTTTCATGCATTCTTCTATTACCTTCATCACAAAAGGATGTCTAATTATCATATTGCTTATAATAACATAAAAATGCAAATAACCAAATGTCTAAAGTATGAAAGTGTTAACTTTTTATACATCTATACTTTGCAATTTCATGCACCTATTTAAAATATTATTGTTTAGAAAAATGTTAACAGAAATGTAAAATGTACAGCATTTTCATATTTAAAAATATTCATAGGAGCTGTGCACTGCTGGCTAACAACTATAATCTTAGGTATTCAGTATTCTTAAGATCTGAGAATCTGAATTTGAAGACAGCTAGACAACCTTGAAATGCTTATCTTCAATTAGCAAAAAACAAACTAGAGGCGTGGCTCAAGTGGTAAAGTTGCAGCCATGAGCAAAAAAGCTAGAGTAAGGGTGTTAGGTATGGATTCAATTCCCAGTAACAGCACATATACACAAAACAATTGTATGACTGGGGATTTAGCTCAGTGACACAGCAAGCATCTGCCTATAAGGCCCTGGATTTGGACTGTGACACTGTTAAAATATGAATATAAATATATACATTAAAAGTGACATACATTCCTCAAAAAGGTATTATCATATCTGGGAATTAGAATGAATTATAATTAATTTTAAATTTCTTCTATTTAAATTATTTTTTAAATTTTTCCACAGTTATTATTACATTATACAAAAAATTTCAGAATTGTATAGTGGTGATATTTATGGTGTGGAAAATGTGTAAAAATTTTATATGAATATGATTTAATGGATACAAATACATAGTTTGATAACAAAGCATGCGAATATGGACTGGCTTTTTAAAATTACTGTGTTTTCAATAAAACTATACAACAACCCCCTTATGTAATTTTACTAATGTGGTTATAAAACTCTACTTTCTTTTCTTAGATATGAAAATTTTGAGGATCCTATGGGAACTGTTGATAAGTTTCATTATGGTACTCACTATTCCAATTCTGCAGGAGTCATGCACTATCTTATCCGGGTAGAACCATTTACTACCCTCCATATTCAGCTTCAGAGTGGAAGGTATGTTTAGAGTAAATAAACTATTTTCTTACGTCTGTGTTAGTGTTGAATACTGTCTGTCTTTATGGCATTTGCTGTGTTACCGGGCCATGTCTTTTTAAAATTCTTGTTTACTAGAATTTAATGCAGATAAAAATAGCCACACTAATTTGAGAATGAGATATTCAAACTGATTGACAAGAATGACTTTAAGGGGAATTTTTTTTCACTATTAACCCAATGCACTGGAAGTGGCACTGTGGCTCAAGTGGTGGAGCACTAGCCTTGAGCTGAGGAGCTGAGGGATACCGCTCAGGCCCAGAGTTTAAGTCCCACGACCGACAAAAATAAATAAATAAATAAAACCCAATGCACCTTTGGGATTCGTACTGTTCTGAGGAACGCACTAAAGATTCTGATCTAATTGAGAGCTAAATATAAGCTATGTACAGAATCAAATCTCAGCATTGACTGTGTAATCCTAAGAATATTTGTAAGGCGAATGGAAAGAGGAAACCATGAGGGATAACACTGCCTTAAGAAGTCTTTGCTACCACTGCGTTAACATATTATCTGTGAGTATTTTAAGTTACCTACTTCACAGTTTTCTAATAATTATAAATAAACTTCTCTGAGAATCTTCTGCCCCTCAGTGAATCTTCCAAGTAGCTCTATTTTTATACTCATTTAGTTCACCTGTTGCTGTATTTCTTAGCATTACCATTTTGCCTTCCCTACCCAGTCATCCCCATCTTAAGTATAATAATAAACCTTGGTTTGGAAGAAAAGACTGTCCCAAGATCATGAAACAGCACTAAAATATTAAATTTATCATGATAAGAGGTAATTTTCCCTCATAAGATACAATAAAGTATAACTAGGTCTTTTTAGCTTTTTCTTATTTTCTGAATAAATAATTATTTACAGAACTTCAAAATGAATTCTTTTTATATTTCAGAAACACCATCAAGAAAATGCAAACAACCTTGAAAATTTGATGAAGGGTTTGCCTCTAGAATATAGAATGAACCCTTACAACCAAAAAATAAAAATTAAAACAAAATTAAAAATGGACAGAGGATATAAATAGCTATTTCTTTAAAGAAAGCAAACAAATATCTAGTAAATAAATGTAAAAATGCCTTAATATCATTACCTATCAGGGAACCTGAAATAAAAATCATGTGAGAGATCATACCCACTAAGATGGCTATAATAAAAAAATATTTTTTTAAAAAAATTTATTGGTTAACTGTTGAGCAATTGGATATCTGTACTGCTTGAAGTCTTTGTGAAAAATAATCTGGCATTTCTTCAAAAGGCTAAATGTAGAAGTGCTATTTAATCCAACAGTTGTCCTACTAGATGCATATTCAAGATAAATTGAGACATAGGGTCACACAAAAGTTTGTACACAAATGTTCATAATAGCGTTGTTTATAATAACCAAAAAGTTGTAACACAGTATTCATCTACTGACACATGAGAAAATAAATGTAATATATCCATAAAATGGAATATTATTTGGCTATGCATGAATGAAAAGACTAAAATATTGACACATGCTATACCAGGAACGAACCTTTAGAACATTATGCTGAAAGACATAGGTACGCCAGAAGTCCACATATTCTGTGTGTTACGTGAACAGGCAAATACATGGAGACAGAAAACAAATTATTATTTGCCAGGGATGAGAAGGTTCTAAAATTGATTATGGTAATGTTTGCAAACTAGGGATATACTCAGTTACATCATTGTACCATCCACTTCAGTTGAGTCAGTTGCATGGTGTATTGGTTTTATATCAGTTACTTGGTATCTCTTAATTGTGAATAGGCCATCGTTAGACTTTTTAAGTGGCCTAATGTTTGTCTGTAATTGAATTCATAGTTATGGTATGATTAGCTCTGCCTTAAATTAAGACTAATAGACATTAAAAAGTCAAATTAGTCATTAGAGTCACTTTATTCCTCATATCATGGCTTTAATTTTTTAGCCTCAAGATTATTGCTTTATAAATCTAGTAATACAATATCTAAGGCAGTAAAACAAAGAATTTGTGTTAAAGAAAAATAATATAATTCTGGCATTACTGCTTAAGCTTATTCTGACAACTATAGACTGTGTACCCATAAAATTAATTTGGTTACAGTGACTCAAACCTTTAATGCTAGCTACTTCGGAGGTAGAGATTAAAGGATGGTAGTTTTAGATTAGCTCAGTAAAAGAAGTTTGAGAGACTCCGTTTCAACTAGTGGCTTAGTGTAGTAACATACACTTGTTATTCAGCTATAAAGGAAAACACAAATACAAGTAATCATAGTCCAGTCTAGTCTGGGCATAAATCAAGACCCTACCTTGCAAATAACCAATGCAAAAAGGGACTGGAGACATTGCATAAGTGGTAGAGCATTTATTTACTTAGCAAACACAAGGACCTACATTTTATCTCCATTACCACCAAAAAATTAATTATAAATAAAGCCAATTTTTATGAAAATAAAATATAACTTAGCTACAGAGCTAATTTCCTAACTTACCAACTCTGATTTTCAGCAGAAGAATTTGTATCTCCATTCATGTATTAAGGTTTAAGTCAGTGGCATTCTTGTAAGTCCATTAACCAAGTATATTAACACTACAAGATTTAGGCATAAAATTTGTGCTTTTTTATTGTTTATTTTATTTTACTTTATTTTTTATTTTTTGGGTCCAGTCGTGGGGCCTGAACTCTGGGCCTGGGCGCTGTCCCTCAGCTCTTCAGCTCAAGGCTAGCGCTCTACCACTTGAGTGAAAGTGCCACTTCCGGCTTTTTTCCTTTTGCTTATGTGGTGCTGAGGAATTGAACCCAGGGCCTCATGCATGCAAGGCAAGCGCTTTACCACTAAGCCACCTTCCCAGCCCCCCTACTATTTATTTTATAACCTGGAGTTTGAACTCAAGGGCTTTAGCATTCACCAGCATTCTACTATTGTGCTTTACTCCTTACCCTATCTCAGCTTTTTTTCCCCTCAAGTCTCTTAAGAGTATATTTAATTTACATGGAATTTTTCCATTGTGGCTGGATTTTCAACTGTTTTAAGATGATTATTGTTGGTTGAAATGATAGTACTTAGCTCTTGACAACAAAATATGAAAGACATTGAAAATTATGTTTATAGACATTAAAGAGAAAGATTAACATTAGAATAGCTCTACTGGGCACAATGGCTCATGCTTGTAAGCTCAGCTACTTAGGAGGCAGCTATAGGTGGATCATGGTTCAAGGCCAGCCCACACAAAAAGCAGGACCTCAGAGAACAAGCTGGAAGTAGTATTTCACGCCTGTAATCTTGGTTAACACAGGAGGCATACACATAAGGATATTAGTCTGAGGCCAGCTAAAGCAAAATGTGCAAGACCTTATCTGAAAAAAATAGCCAAAGCAAATAAGCCCTGGGAGTTTTGGCTCAGGTGGTAAAATGTCTGCATAGCAAGCATGAGACCTTGAGTTTAACCCCAATAAAAACAACAGCAAAACAAAAAGTGCAGGTCTAATAACTTAATCCTTAAAGTAGTTTCAACATTTTGTTTCACATGTCATGGCTACTTTCACCCACTAGTCACTGTTCTCTTTCAATTCTCACATGCAGGTTTGACTGTGCTGACCGACAGTTCCATTCCATTCCTGCTACCTGGCAAGCGCTCATGGATAATCCTTATGATGTGAAAGAACTTATTCCTGAATTCTTCTATTTCCCAGAGTTTTTGGAAAATCAAAATCGTAAGAAATAGGGTTAAAAAACTCATTGCATCCCAATGGAGAAGCCTGAAGAAATATCTTTCAGTCTATTTTGTAATATTGTATTGCTACAGTTTATTCTGTGCATGAAGTACTCAGTGGCATGGTCTAACTGTGCCCGTATACAATCTTATCTTCCAGGGAAGGGCTACAGGGAACTAAGATAAATGAATCAAATTTGAACTGCTACAGTATGTACTAAGAAGCAAAAATGGTTATATGCTGTCATTAAAAGCCTTTGAGTTAGATAAGGTGAGGATTTCGGTGGACCAAATGCATGAGTAAACTCATGTTTTTGTAGTTTTATTGGAACACAGCTAGCAAATTCATTTATGTATCAACTGTGTATAGCTCCTTACTGTGTATATCACTTACAAACTAAAAAATATTTGTTTGAGTATAGTGACTCATGCCTATAATCCCAGCTTCTTGGGAGGTGAAGATAGGGGGGATCAATTTGAGGTTTCCATGGGAAAAAAAAATAGTCACAATCTTAAAGAACAAGCTGGGTTAGATGCCAGTGGCTCATATCCGAAATCCTAGCTTCTTTCAGGAGGCTGAGATCTGAGAATCATGGTTTGAAGTTAACCCAAGCAGGAATGTTCATGAACCTTATCTTCAAAAACCTTGCAGTTGAGATGTGTGGCTCAAGTGGCAAAACATCAACCTTGAGTGTAAAAGCTAAGGGACAATGCCCAGGCTTTTGAGTTCAAACCCAAATACAGGCGTGCGTGCGTGTGTGTGTGTGTGTGCTTGTGTGTGTGTGTATGCGCACACATGTGCTTGTGTGTATGTTCACAAAAAAGGAAAAAAGGAACAAACTGAGCATGATGGTAAACACCTGTAATTCCAGATGCCGAGAGTTATAGGTAGGATTATTGCAGTCAAATGGTAGGGGCATAAATCGAGTATAGAACTCTTGCCTAGCAAGTTATAAGACTCCTGAGTTCAAGCTCCAGTACCATCCTCCCCATCAAAAAAAAAAAAAAAAAAGGAGGCTGGGTAGGTGGCTCAGTGGTAGATTGCTTGCCTTGCTTGCATGAGGCCCTGGGTTTGATTCCTCAGCACCACATAAACATAAAAAGCCCAAAGTTGCACTGTGGCTCAAGTGGTAGAGCTTGAGCTGAAGAGCTGAGGGACAGCGCCTAGGCCCAGAGTTCAGACCCCACGACCGACAAAAATAAAAAATATATATACATATATATAATATATGCATATATATGTGTGTGTATATATGTTTATCTATGTATGTTTATCCTTGATTCTCTATAGAAAATTTGCTGAATCCTGTTTTAGAATATATATGAGAAAGCATATTGTTTACTACACTATTTGAAAATTAAAATTATGTTTTTGAAGTAGAGAAGCATGATGTTAAGTAGTATGTGTGTAAGTGTATGGGTAGGGGTGAGTGTGAGTGTGTGTGTGTATGTGTGTGTGTGTGTGTGTGTATTTCTGGGGTTGCTACACAGGCATTCTACAACCTGAGCCATACCATTAGCCAATTTACTTTCATTTTGTTTCAAGTAGGAACTCATTTTTTTGTCAGGGCCAAGCTGGGCTGCAATCCTGCATAGCTGAAATGACAGGCCCATGCCACTGTGCCCTTTTGACCTGGTCTCTTTTCACTTTTTTAAAGCTTTTTATCCTTGTCTACCACTCAAGTATCTATAGGATTTCAGGTGGGAGCTACTACTCTTGGCCTAAATCTTTTAAAACATCCAAAAAGTTTTCTGCACAATAGTTTTACATTTCACTCATTTATTCATTCATTCAGTGGCATTGGGTATTGAGTTCAGAGCCCTGCACTTGGTAAGCAGGTATTCTCCCATGGAGCTACATTCCTAGCCCTATACTTTTTTTGGGGGGTGGGGGGCCTGGGCACTGTCCCTCAGCTCTTCAGCTTAAGGCTAGCGCTCTACCACTTGAGCCATCCCGACACTTCTGGTTTTCTGAGTGGTTTATTGGAGATAAGAGTCTCATGGACTTTTCCTTCCGGGGCTGGCTTTAAACCATGAACCCAGATCTCAGCCTTCTGAGTAACTAGGATTAGGCGTGAGCCCAGCTCCTACACTTACTTTTAAGCACATATAAAGAAATAGGGAAGATTTTGCTAGTTGCTGCTCTTCAGGACAATTCAAGTGTCATTTTCCAAATTTTTTTTCTCCCCCAACAGATAACATTAATGTTGGACCTTCACTTGCTTACTAAAATTATTCTTTATAGTGTAGAAAGCACATTCAGAATTAATGTCAGTTTGCTCATGCATTGCGAAACATGTTGTTGGTAACAAGAGTATTTCATTCTCAGAGTAAGAGAATCAGAGTTGCTGACTTTCAGAAAATGAGGTTGGCCTCTGATTCTAGACTCAATGAATTATTAGACTGGAGTTTCTGGGAGCTTCCAGAGTGTATAGGATTAGCAGGGTAAATACAGATGAAAATTTCAAGATACTCTTAGCTTGACACATCCTGACATTTATTGTAATGAATTGCTGTCCTCAGTACTATAACATGATGGCTCCATTTCTAACTATACATTTTCTTTGTCTGAAATGAGGAGGGGTAAGCGAAAGCAAATGTCAATCAATATACCTTTAGGCCAAGTGCTGGAGGCTCATGCCTATAATCCTAGCTCTATAAATATAGCTAGGATATATATATATATATATATATATATATATATATATATATACACACACACACACACACACACACACACACACACACATATATATACATATATACCTTCAGGAATGAATTATAATTTAAGCCAGTTGAACCTGTGACTAGTATAAATGGTGATATAGTGTAAATAGTGAAATATAGTATTTTCTATGCAAAAGCACAGAGGAATGCTAGTTTCAGATAATATAATCACTGCCAATTTCTTTCTGTATTTTCACTCTGCCATTCTGATTGATGGGGCGTTTTCCATGTGTCTAGTACCTTTCCTAGTTACAAATGACTTAGAAGTAGATACAATAGCATCTTAGAAGTGGGATTGTTAACATATTGTACCTTTTATTTATTTATTTATTTTTGGTTGTTGTTGTTGGCGATGGTGGTGGTGGTGGTCATGGGGCTGCTTGAACTCTGGGCATGGGCACTGTCCCTGAACTGTTCAGCTCAAGTGCTTTACCACTTGAGCCACAGTGCCACTTCCGGTTTTCTGGTGATTAATTGGAGATAAGAGTCTCATGGACCTTCCTGCCAGGCTGTCTTTGAACTGTGATCCTCAGATCTCAGTCTCCTGAATAGATAGGATTACAGGCCTGAGCCACCAGTGTCCAGCTTTGTGCCCTTTCTTAAAAGTAAGAAACTCTTTCTTTTTGGTGATACTAGGTTTGAACTCAGGGTCTTGTGTTTGCTAATTAAGCACTTACCCTCTCATCTGAACCAATCAACTCCTTTTTGTTTCGGTTGTTTTCAAGGTAGGAGGTCTCAATTTATGCCCAGACTAGTCCATTTGTAGCTAGGATGGTAGGTAATCACCACTGTGCCTAGTCATTAGATGACAGACATGAGCTACTTAGCCATTGATTGAAATGAAGTCTTTAGAACTTTTATGCCTGGGCTGGCCTTGAACCATGATCTTCCAATCTTTCCTTCCTAAGTAGCTAGGATTAAAGGCAGAGCCAAAAACCCTTTCGTATAACCTCTTTCTTCAGAACTGGGTCATGTATTAACCTCTAAATGGGTACATGAATATATATGAATTATAGGTCAGAGTGAACATTCAAGTAAAATAAAGGTTCTGCTAGCAATTAAAAAATAAAACCAGGGCTGGGAAGGTGGCTCAGCGGTAGAGTGCTTGCCTTGCATGCATGAGGCCCTGGGTTCGACTCCTCAGCACCACATAAGCAAAAAGAAAAAAGCCGGATGTGGCTCTGTGGCTCAAGTGGTAGATTGCTCGCCTTGAGCTGAAGAGCTGAGGGACAGCGCCCAGGCCCAGAGTTCAGGCCCCACGACCGGACCCAAAAAAATAAATAAAATAAATAAAAATAAAACCATCGGTGAACAATGAATGGTATCTATTACATAGTGGAAGATTTAACATAAAGAAAAAGACCCTGTGCATCCTATCATTCTATGAAATTTGAATGTCTCCCCAACTTGGGGATGATGATATTTTAAAGGCAGCACACAGTTATTTTAAAGCTGTTATTTTAAGATTTTTTGGAGGTGTTTATGTTAACACTTCCTATCACACTGCATAATGAAGAAAACTTCATATTTGGGAAAAATTTTTAAATGCATGTTCTAACTATAAAACAAATCTTCATTATGGAAGTATCTACTTAGAATGATGGTATATAAATACCTTATTATTCTATAACACAAATACAGCTCTTCCAATAAGTGAATTTAAGGTACAAGTAACCACAAAAAGATCTAAGGAATTATATTTTGTGAGTTAAAGCATTATAGAAACTGTATTATTTATTTATAATGTAAGAAGAATAATTAATATTGCATGGATTAAAGTGAAAGTTGTAGCTGTAATTACCTCCAGTTTTACATTGTGATAATAAATTTAAAACTATTTCATGGGTTTTTTTTTGTTTTATTGTACTCAGTTTTGAACTCAGGACCTTGCTAAAAGCAAGTGTCTACCACATGTGCTATATCTCCAGCTCTTTTTACTTTAGTTTTTTTAATAGGTTCTCAGTTTTTGCCTTGATCTACCCTGGACCACAATTCTCCTTTTTACACTTCCCTTATACCTACGATGACAAACATGCACCACCATGCCCAAAACAAGGTCTTACCAACTTTTTGTGGGGGCTAGAATCCAACCTTAACCCTCCCAATCTCTGGCTCCTGAGTAGGTAGGATTATACTCATGAGCTACTATATCTGACTTATAAGTTTTAATTAAGGGATAAAGTATGTTCTAATAAATAAGAAGTTTTAAAAAGCCATGCATTTTGCCTAGTAATATGACTTATTTGTATTTTTGTAACTTCATTTCTTTAAATCTACAGCAATTTGATTCTTTATCTTTACATGTCTCAGATTTTAATTTGGGTCGTCTTCAAGTCTCCAAAGAGCTAGTAAATGATGTCATTCTTCCCAAATGGGCTAAATCAGCTGAAGATTTCATCTGTAAACATAGAAAAGCTCTGGTAAGAGTTTTGTCTACTAACAGATTATTATTCAAATGTGCTTTTCAAAGAGTATAATAAAATGCATCTATTTTTCTAGTTTAATTTGTAACCTATTAATACACATGCTATTTTAGAAAGTACAACATAGTAATTTATTTTTAGAATATGAATCTTTTGATACAATGAGTATATAATACAGTACGTAAATATGTCACAAAGTACAAGTTAAGCAAAACACTAACGTGTGTTTATTTTCTCTTATTTTAAACTGTTATTGTCATTTTTCATCCTGTATTAGATTAATAGTACAATAATCTAGAATATAGTAGATATAAATTGAATGATCAGTGTATGTAATAGATACTAGATAAAAGTTTAAGATGATGAGCTGGGTACTTAGGTGGCTCATGCCTGTAATCCTAACTACTCAGGAGACTGAGATCTGAGGATGGCTACTCAAAGCCAGCCTTGGCAGGAAAGTCTGTGAGACTATCTGCAATTAATCACAAAAAAAAAAGCCAGAAGCATAGCTATAGCTCAAGTGATAGAACACTAGTCTCAATCTGAAAAGGCTCAGCGTCTGTACCCAGAGCCCTGAATTGAAGCCCAGGACTAGCAAGAAAACAAACAACCAAACCACCAAAAAAAAGAATTGTGTGTACAAAACCAAGGCTAGTCATCTCTTCATTAAGATGGAGTCTTTTCTGTGTTGGCTGGCCTAAAACAGTGATCTGCCTAGTCTCAGCCTCCCACATGGGGTAGGATACAGGAATCGTGCTCAGCTATTTATACTGTAGTTGGAAGATGTCCATGTTAATTCTTAAATTTCCTCTTTTTCTAGGAGTCTGAATATGTTTCTGCTCACCTTCATGAATGGATAGATCTAATTTTTGGGTATAAGCAGAGAGGTCCAGCAGCAGTGGAAGCACTTAATGTTTTCTATTACTGTACTTATGAAGGTATAAACTTTTATGCTTTCTCTCTTAAATTATTATTGGCTTTCTGTGTACATGGTATTTTGAGCCTATTACAGAAAAGACTAAATTACAAAACAGCTTTCTGGTTTAAAGATTTAGAAACTGCTGCCTTTTCTTTTAATAATAGTGGTTAATTGTGTGCATTAGACCCTTGGCATCAAGGTACAGTTTGCCATTAAGAAAAAACCATAACTGCTCAAGATGCATAGAGCTCAGTACTGTACTACAGGTGCTTGAATTGTTTTCCCCCACAACTCCACCTAAATGTTACTAAAACATGCTACCTTTCAACAGATCTAAAATTTTTACTTTATTATTTAAATTAAGCACATTAATTTTTACCTGCTTCTTGAGCACCATTTACTTTTTGGGAGGCCTATGTTCACAAAATTAAAGACAAGAAAACACTAAGAAAATCACACATTTAAACACAACTGTTAGCAATGGATGACTGACTGAGAGCTACTCCATATCATCTGAACTTTTCGTTGTCTATATGGGAGTTTAACATTTTTGTTTTTAAAATTTCTTTTGATTTTTGAATTGTTTCTCATTTGACTATACTTTATCAAACCATGAGAATACGATGGCTTTAGTCTGTATTTAAGTATGATTATAAATTTGAATATTGTATGCCCTATTTAGGATACTACTTTATTCTTTTTTTTTTTTTGGTCCAGTTGTGGGACCTGAACTCTGGGCCTGGGCACTGTCCTTCAGCTCTTCAGCTCAAGGCTAGTGCTCTACCACTTGAGCCACAGCGCCACTTCCAGCTTTTTTTCTTTTTTCTTATGTGGTGCTGAGGAATCGAACCCAGGGCCTCAGGCATGCAAGGCAAGCACTCTACTACTGAGCCATCTTCCCAGCCCATGGATCCAACTTTATTCTGACTTAAATTATTTTCAAACTTTGAAAAAAGGCCTGTAATCCTACCAATTTAGGAGATTAAGAACAGATGGGTTTATGTCTGAGTCCAGTACAGACAGAAAAGTTCACTAAACTCCATTTCAACCAATATCTGAGCACAGCAGCGATTCTTGTATTCTAACAACCTATGTGGGAGGCTGAGATTAGGAAGATCACTGTTTTAGGTCAGCCCACACATAAAAGACTCCATCTTAATGGGAGAGATGACTGGGCTTGGTTTTCCACACATGTCATCCCAGCTTGGACAAGAGCCCTAAAATAGATCGGTTGTGGTACAGGCACACTCCCATTTAGGAAGCAAGACCCTGTCTCAAAAATAAACATTGTGTAAAAAGGCTGGAGGTGTGCTCAGCAGCAGAGTACCTGCTTGGCAATCATGATTCCCTGAGTTCAAGCCTACATACTGAAAAAAGAATTCAAATAATATTATTTAGCTCAGAAGAATGTTTTGTGACGGCTTAAAAGGCAAAGAAGTCATTATCTCTTTACTAATTATTAAGTGGATCTAGTAGTTCTAAAGATTATGAATGGTGTGGAGTTTTGTGAATTTGAACAGAGCTCACATGACTTTTGGTAAATAAATAATCTATTTTTACTATGCTAGATCAGTTCAGACCATTGACTTTTTTTTTTTATCGTGGGGCTTGAACTCGGCTTGGGCGCTATCTGTGTGCTCTTCAGCTCAAGGCCAGTGCTCTACTGCTTGAGCCACAGCATCAATTCCGGTTTTCTAGTGGTTTATTGGAGATAGGAGTCTCATGGAGTTTCCTGCCTGGGCTGGCTTTGAACTGTGATCCTCAGACCTCAGCTTCCTGAGTAGCTAGGATTACAGGCATGAGCCACCAGTGCCTGGCCCATAGACTTATTAAGGAGGTAGTTCTACATGATTTAGATTTAAACTGACTTGGCCAGTTATTAGGAATTTAGAAATGTAAAAACCCTTATTAAGTGTGGCTTGAGTATAATCAGTTGACAAAAACATCACCTTTCTAAAACCTTTCTTTCTTCCTTCTTCCCTTTCTTCCTTCTTCTCTCCCTCCTCTCTTCCTTACTTCCTCACTTCCTCCCTTCTTCCTTTTCTTCCCTTTCTTCTTTCTTTTCCTTCTTTCCTTTGCCAGTCCTGGGGCTTCAACTCTTGGTGGGACACGGTCCCTGAAATGGTATGCTGGAGCCACAACTTTACTTCTGGCTTTTTGTGGTTAATTGGAGATATGAGTCCCATGGACTCTCCTGCCCAGTCTGGCTTTGAATTGTTGTATTCAAATCTTTGCCTCCTGAGAAACTAGGATTATAGGCATGAGCCACTGGTTGCTGGCCTAAAACCTTTATTTTTAAGTAGTAACATATTTATAGAACTTTTCTAGAATATGCCTAACAATCTCTTAATGTACTTTAGTTCTAAATTATTAATGGAATTTATTTTTATGCATTTTTAATGTTTGGAGATTTACTGGGTTAAAAATTACCTCTACCAATATTATTATAAATTGAACAGATAATATTTTGGTAAAAATAATCTAAAGCCTCCAAGATAATAGTTATTTACCATGCTGATCTGTTTTCACTCTATTGTGAGTTGACTACATCTGCTGGTTTTAGGAGCTGTTGATCTGGATGCCTTAACAGATGAAAAGGAAAGAAAAGCCTTAGAAGGGATGATTAATAATTTTGGGCAAACACCCTGTCAGTTGTTAAAGGTAAATATTATGTAACTTATTGACAGCTTAAGAGGTCTAGAATTAAATTGCTAAGGAACAATGCTACTATTATTTTTAAGGGTTTTAATTAGGAACCTTAGTGAATTTGGAAAAAAATTATACTTGTCACTTAAAAAAGATTTAATTGATTGTTATTATTTTGAAAGTAAAAAATACTGCAGTTAAGATCCATGTATGACATGAAATATTTTTTTAAAAATCCATGTATGAAGCCAGGTATGTGAGACATGCCTGTAGTTTTGGGAGGTTGTAGTGTGAGAATTGTTAGTTTTAGGCCAGCTTGGACAACATAGTGACTCTACATCTCAATAAAGAGACTTTCCATCTCACCCTGCCATCAGAGGTAGTTGAGAAGGGGATGGTCTGATATGATTTCCACTTAGGCAGCAGAAATCACAGGCTATGGAAGGTACTGTGGTCAATGGTCCTGCCCTTTGGCAAGTGCAAACCCTATCACCTGAGAAATACTGTGGAGATTGAGAGCTCTGAGCCCAGGCCTGTAATATTGTTCAGTGTTTGCAGCCTATTTGCCACAGGGTGATTTATTCCTGGGCAAGATCCAAAAGGTCTGAGATTAGCAGACAGAGTTCCAGAGTCCCAATTCTCTTGTTCCATGCAGATCTCAGTACTGTTTGCTTCCTCAACTCTGACACCCTCAAGAAGATACCTCTTGCCTTGCTCATTTGCTGTAGCACTTGGTGGAGTCTCTGGAGCAAGTGGGAATCTTCCTTGCCCACAGACCACAAAGCTTATTGGGGCTAGCAGTGGTTTTGTGGGTCACCAAAAAGGGAAGCTTTTAAAGAGAATGTAGCCTTAAAGCTGAAAGGGTTGGCCCTCAGCCCATATACAACACCAGCCTGAACAGAATAGAATCTAGCCATAATACTCTTCCCACCTTACTCTACTCCACTTGAAATCTTCCAGTCTTACCTCTAAGACTGGAAGCTTCTCAAAAGGAGCATCTCCACTTTAAAAAAAAATTACATTTTTGGTATTCTATGTTATTCTTTAAAACTTCTATTTTGGTATTTTACTTTTTTGGTCTTTTATTCCTCTTTGTGCCTTTCTCTAGCTTAGTCATATTATCATCATCACTATTTTTATTATTGGAGGCAGTGGTGGTAATGGTGGTAATGACACTGGGCTTTGTACTCAGGGCTCAGTCATGCATATAGCCCCTTTTTTCTTTGGTTTAGAGATAAGATCTCACTTTTTACCTGTAATAGTATGGATCATGATTCTCCAGCTTCTATGCTTCTTACTGTAACTGAATGATAGGCATACATCCACATGTTCATCTTTTTCTGTTAAAATAGGTTCTAGTGAACTTTTTTATTTTTTAACCTGAGCTGACCTGGGACCATGATCTTCCTGATTTCATCCTCCTATATAGTTGGATGGCAAGTGCATGTCCTTATGGCCAAGCTACCCATTGAGAAGGGATTTCATGAATTTTTTGTTCAGGCTGGCTTTGAATAACAGTCCTGGTCTCCATCTCCATAGGTGTGAACCACTGTCACCTTGTTATCTACTTGACTTTTTGTCTCTTGTGCTTTTTTACTTCTCACATTCTTTTTATTTTTCATTCTCTTTTTATTTAACATTGTTCTTTCTTTCCCCTCATACCTCCTTTATTTTATTCATTTATTTTTTTAAACTTTGTTCATTTTTTTATTTTGTTTTTGTTTGTTAGTTTATCGCAAGGCCTCACACTCTTGGGTGATTTTTTTTTTTTTTTGTGCAAGGTTGGTACTCTACCACTCTTGCCACGGCTCTACTTCTGGCTATTTGCTGGTTAAATGGAAATAAGAGGCTCACAGACTTTTGCCATGTCTGGCTTCAAATTGTGATCATCAAATTTCAGCCCCCTGAGTAGCTAGGATTGCAGGTGTCAGCCACCAGCACCCATCTTTATTAGTTTTTAACTCCATAAACTAATCAATATTTTTATTGCCACTTTCTTTTTTTGTGGTGGTTAAGGTTATAGTAGTTGGCTTTAATTGATTTGAGGTTGGTTAGAACAGGTATTTAAACTCAGGGCCTTGCACTTGCTAGTTAAGGTGCTTCACCACTTGAGCCATGCACTCAAGGCCTTTCTCCTTTACAATTTTTTTTTCCTTTACAATTTTTTGAGTAGGGTATTATTTTATACTTAGGCCAACTTGGACTTCATTCTTTTTTTTTTTTTGTCGGTCGTGTGGCTTGAACTCTGGGCCTGGGCGCTGTCCCTCAGCTCTTCAGCTCAAGGCAAGTGCTCTACCACTTAAGCCACAGCGCCCTTCCTGGTTTTCTAGTGGTTTATTGGAGATAAGAGTCTCACAGACTTTCCTGCTGAGGCTGGCTTTGAACTGTGATCCTCGGATCTCAGCCTCCTAAGTAGCTAGGATTATAGGCAAGAGCTACCGGCGCCCAGTTGGACTTCAATTCTTTTTTTTTTTTTTTTTT